ACATATTTTTCTGACATTATCTGATGGCATGCAGTGATGCACATAAATAATTCGCCGCAGATTAAATAATTTTTTTATAAATTTTTTGGGGTGTTTATTTGAATTCGGATAGCTCAACAGTACAGAAGTACAACTATAAAGTGTACCGAATAGAAAGCCCCGAGAACGGGAAACCAAAAAACAAAACAAAAACAGCAAAATCAATTTACTGATTATGCACATTGCTTGAAAGCAAATTACAACAATGATTAAGAGTTAAGCTGTCTTTTAGCCAAATAGCCAATTTGACGCGGAAATCTGCGATAGTTACTTTAAGTAGTGCAGGACTTCAGGTCGTCTGGTAAATAATTCCAAACAAGAGCCGATTTACTTGAAAAGGACAGAAAGCCAGGCATAGATCTATAGCGATTGATACTCATGTTATGAGTTGTCGAGCCGCGAGTAGTTCGGGTAGACGTACAGATGGGAAAGAGGGACTGCAAGCAAACAGCCGGCTTAATACAGTAACAGTGGAAAATGAATACAAGGAACAAAAATACTGATCGATATTGGAAAGAGGAAACATTGAGGTGGTGAAGAAGTGGCGTGATATTAGCTTGGGGTGATGCGCCACAAGCAACTCGTACAGCGCGCCGGTGGAGTGAGGCTAGCTTGTTTCCATTTTCACGGATATAAACGAAAGGTATACAGGGAGAGCATATTCTAGATCAGGCTGAATAACACTGACAACGAAAGTACGGCGGGCAAACAGGTTCATCTGGCGGAAAGATCGGCGCAGTACACCGATCTTCCGTGAGGCTTTCCGGACGACATTGTTAATGTGTTGGTCAAAGGACAGCTTATTGTCAACAACGACTCCTAGGCATCTGTTGCTTTCCACTTCCCCTAGCGTGACATTTGACAAGGTGATTTGCAGTTGTTGCCTTTGTTGTTGTTGCTGACTCCCTGTGGCACGTTTGGGATGGAGTTGCATGACAACGGTTTTGTCGGTATTTATCTGCATGCCAAGGGAGCCAAGGTGGTTGTTTAGTATCTCCAGTGCCGATGACAACTTGGCTTCGGAACGCGCCTTCGACGATTCACTAGAGTAGACTGTCTTGTCACCTGCGAACATCAGTAATTTTGAACCCGCTGTCTCCGCAAGCCGGGGAAGGTCCCTCAGGTAGACATTAAAAAGGGTAGGGCCTAAAATACTTCCCTGAGGAACTCCTCGAGACACTGCAAGACTTGACGACTGGCTGGCTTGCGTGACGACACGCTGAGAAATAATTGTACACAATGACTATGTACATGATTGTACAGTCATGACTCGTGTAGTACTGTAAAAGCCATAAATAACGAAGTGCTAACTCTAACGAGTTAAGGGGGCAGCCTACCCATAAATTTCATATGGCATTCAATTGACCGTAACTTTGGTGTTTCTCAATGGATTTGAGTGAAATTTTGACCACACACTCCTGCCACTATGCCGGCCCTCAGGACATGATTTACAAGTTCTTGCGCCTCACTGACAGGCTTTCCAGGCCGGAAAAACTCAAATTTCCGGCATAGTGCCACGGTGTGCGAGCCACCCAGGAGCCAAACAAATGCATTTACAATTTTTTCACATTTTCGTGCTCATTCTGTTCGTGCGCGGGACCCAAACCTAGAACAAGTCCAGAAGCAGCCATGGGTGATGGGGTAGGGCCCCTCAACGAGGCCCTGGAATCTGTCACAACGGAACGAGTGGGCGTTCTCTCACACACTCCCACAGACCCAAGTCAATTTTTGAATTTTTTTAGGTTTAGCACGTGCTACGAGGTCGTACCTTTGATACAACATCCAGTGCTGGGACCTCCACAGCAAGCCATTTCCACAGCGCTGCACACCAAATCCAGGATACCCTCAGAAACCGGCAAAGACTACCACTCACGTTTCACTACTGCCTAGTACTGAATCCTACCTGACTTCTTGACACGACTCAAACTTGCCAAAGTCACTAAATCAACGTCAACTACAATAATCAAGCCACATAATTATGTCATATCTGCAACGTCACGAGGATGCTGGCAAAAGTCCTGCTGCACGGCGGCGGGCTTTGCCCGCCGCCGTGCAGCCCAATACGTGGCTCAAAAACCTTATTTTTTGGAAAATTCTGCACACTTTCACGTGTTTCCATGATACGACAAGTTGCGCACGGTCTGCTCAGTGCTCACATTCAAATACAGTGCTGCCAACAAATGACAGCGTGCAACAAAAAAATCTTTCCTTGCAAGGGCACATTTTCGGCCATAACTCTTGAACGGCCGGTCAGATCGGGACACAATTTTCAGAGAATTTGCAGCTATTCATGCTCTTTCAACTGACGTAGCACTCAATATGAATTTACAAATTCGATTTTTCAGCGATTTTTTGCGTAGTCTGCCACCTTAACGAGGAGAAATCTGTCGTTAAAATAGAAATCGTTATACAGAAATCCATACATATACTGTCCTATTGAGCGTTGAGAATGAGTGAGAATCGTTACCTTTGGTACACGTAAACTAGTCAATTTTGGGAAATCGTCATAATATGCACCTCGTTAGAATAAGTATCTAATATTGACTGAGTACGAGGTCAATATAGGAAATAAAAGCCGAGTAAAAGACCGAGGCGAAGCCGAGGTCTTTTACGAGGTTTTATTTCCTATACTGACCAAGTACGAAGTCAATATTAGATTTATCACGACAAACAGTCCGTATTTCAAATTCCAAAACGATAACCTCATGAATCCCGGTTTTATGATTGCACAACCGTTGCACCACCACCTAGTACCTACTCATGCAGTGACAATGCTGCACTAGGCACCGTTCAACTGCGCGATCCCTAAGCAGACAAATATAAGCAGTCAATATAGCCCTAAGGAGTGAAATATGCAGGAATATTTGACTGCTTAGGTATGGCAAAAATCTATGTGAGTCAATACTAAGGGAGTGATAATGGCTTTTATCACTCCCTTAGTATTGACTCCCATTGATTTTCGCTATACCTAAGCAGTCAAATATTCCTGCATATTTCACTCCTTAGGGCTATATTGACTGCTTATAATTATTTGACTGCTTAGGGGTTGCGCAGTTGAACGGTACGCGGTGCCTAGTGCGGTATTGTCACTGCATGAGTAGGTGGTGGTGCAACGGTTGTGCAATCATAAAACCGGGATTCATGAGGTTATCGTTCTGGAATTTGAAATACGGACTGTAAGTCGTGATAAATCTAATATTGACTTCGTACTTGGTCAGATAGGAAATAAAAGACCTCGTAAAAAACCTCGTCTTCGCAGCTCGGTCTTTTACTCGGCTTTTCTGATTTCCTATTGACCTCGTACTAAAATTAATGTCTTACAAGTTACAGTACACTGTACAAAGTCAATGTACATGTATGTATTGCCTATTGCCAGTATTGGATGTGTGCCACGCGCTAGCGCTAGCTCGCGCTGTCAACGTAACGGTGTTGCCATGATTACGGTGACGCGTATGGTATAAAAGCTCAGTGCCGTGCAAAGTTTTTGCGTGATTTGCTAATAATTATTTCTAAGCTAGCGCTTTGTTAGTTTTCAAGTCTCAAAGTTTCTCCTTCCCTCTAATTCCAGTTGGCTTCAAGAGTGGAACATGGTTCGTATTCCCCCAAGCAAGTCCTGCCCAGCAAGGCCATGGAAGCCTGTGGGCCGCAGGGCAACCGGCGGAAAGGTGCCATTGGACCCTGAATTTTATCAGCAAGTCGCCAAGTTTTTCCGTAAGCGGAGACAATCACGAGCCGCGGAGAGGAAGAGGAAGGGACTACGCCACCGGCCAGGACCTGAAGCTCTCCGCCAAATCCGACCTTATGCGAAGTCAAATAAAGGCAATCGGAGTCTTGCATCCCAATGGATTCTTATTCTTGATATCCAGTTGGCTCGGCGCATCCGTGGAGAGCGTGCATAAATATTCGGCCGGCTACGCTATCCTCTATCGGACTAACCAATCAACAACTGGCTTTTTTCAAAGCCACCACAGTAAATCAAAGGAAAGTTGTGTCTCTTGTGCATCTATGCTGGTATTGTGTGTTACTATTGTTGTTACAGTGCGCGGTTTCATCGTGACACAGGTCTAGGCAACGTAACATGGACGTAGTGCAAGTGGATAGCATCATCAGTATTCGTACGCCGCACAGGCAGTGAAGTATGTCATGTACAGTCAGTGTATTACGGTGTTCAGTTTCCTCTGTACTACTGTCGCGGACATGGAAATCCAGTCGATTGACCGGGGCCGGCGCCCTCAGAACGTAAGCAGCACATCAGCACGTCGTCCCTACATCCCCTATGTTTTGTCTTTTTCCTCGTTTCATTTTGTTCTCCACCTGTTAGTAGGAATTATTTCAAATGGTGAACGGTACTGCAGTGGTGTCTTCAACTTCATTCGACCGAGTCAAGCTCCGTATGAAGACATCCAAGAAGAAGATTGCCTGATGAGTCCAGCGGGGACGAAACGTACGTCGCAATCGAGCTATGTCGTTGCTGTATCATCTTCTATGTGCCATGCACTACTTGATGTACCAGTCTGCTATGCCGGATACCGCCAACCATGCATCGACCAGGCGCGACGTGATGGTGGTGGTGGTGAGAAGGAGAGCTCTGTGCCAGAACTTTGGACGCTAGAGAGCGTGTGTGGGCAGGCGTGTGTTTACCGCCATATTGCCAGGTGTGTCTTTACCACCATATTTATCAGCCATAAGTACAGCTGCAGTGGTGTCTTCAACTTCATTCGACCGAGTCAAGCTCAGTATGAAGACATCCAAGAAGAAGATTGCCTGATGAGTCCAGCGGGGACGAAACGTACGTCGCAATCGAGCTATGTCGTTGCTGTATCATCTTCTATGTGCCATGCACTACTTGATGTACCAGTCTGCTATGCCGGATACCGCCAACCATGCATCGACCAGGCGCGACGTGACGGTGGTGGTGGTGTCACTAACCGGCACAAACCCGCAAGTGCACAGTTAGGAGATGAGTTGATAACTGATTTATTTGCTCGGACTGAAAGAGAATTTATACGATAAGTGAACGTGGCAGTGCAACATCGTATGGAGCACGCGCACTTCATTATTTTGGGAGAGCAGTATGCAGCAGTTGGGAAAAATGCGAGCTCTGGCATGGCTGTGTAAACCTAGAGGGTCTGAGGCTACAAACTGTGCATGTGGCAGAACTTGCCGTACAGAGTTCACAGTGCAATATTTACCGTATAAACTAAGAGAAAGCTACAGATTGCTGCAGTGCCGAAACATGAACTGAAACATGTAAAATAGCAAAATTAAACTATCTCGCTTCGCGACACTCCCGCCGCAAAGATAAGTAACACATAATTTGTGTGATGCCGTAAGAACCATGTTAAAAGACTAGAGAGCTGAAACAGATTTCCATCTGGAAATACTTCAATACTGAAAGAACAAATGCAAGAAACTATATCTAAGCAATTCGAAGTTCTGGAGCTAGTTTCATCATTACTGCTACAGTATTTACGGTATGTCACAATTCAACCTTAATTAATCGAGAGCTAGGGCTGCATTCGATTGTAGAAACTGGATCCCGATCCCCGCCGACCAGATCACTTCGATCGGACGGATACAATCGAATGTGCACAACCGATAATCCGTTTCAAGGCCTTAGCAACCGCGTTGCTACAGCTCATCCCGTAGTATCTGTACGCGTTGTGGTAAACTCTTGACCTAGTGTACGCATATTGCGAGTTTTGAGTAGATGCGAGTCGTACTATCGAAATGAATCTGTCGAATCCGTCGAATCCGTCTCTGGGAGGTGGGTTGACTGGATCCGAATCCGTGCTCTCGGGATCCGGATTCGTACAATCGAACATGCACAAATTTGGCGAATCCGGGTCCGGGGCTGATGGATTCGTACAATCGAACATGCCCTAGGTTTGCATGATGAGACTCAATAACTGAACCGTAAGCAATGTAGATATTACTATCATAATTAAATTTAGAAAAACATAACCAAGAACACTGGCAACTGTTCAAATAAGTACCAGGTTACATGCAGTTAATTCACATGGCTACTATACTTGTCCATCTTCGATCAGATCACGGGTGCGCATTGTAGCTGCTGTTGCTGCATTGCGTCGCGGGCGTTCAGGCAGTGGCGCAATTGCAGGCTCTGGCACTTCTGCAGTGGTTACTTCGCCTGATGAACACTCTAACGGATAGAGATGGCTTACCGGCCGGTTCATGGAACTCCCAGATGGCATACGTAGCGTCACTGATCGCACTTCGCCGTCTGTGCTTTGGTGTAGCTGCGCGATTCTTCCTATTTTCCAGCAGCTGCGCGGCCGATCAACATCCTTGATCAGAACAATGCAGTTGACACTTGGCTTGAAGCTATTGGAATTTCGTTGACTGTGTTGTTGTGGTCGTAGTGACTGCAAATACTCTGTCGACCACTTCTCCCAGAAAATGTTGAGACATTTCTGCTGCTGTTTCCACAGGTTGACGAGTTGTTGAGCATTACTGACATGTGTGATGTAGTCAGGGTCATCTGTAATGACAAAGTTAGGCTGACCAAGAGAACTATGCCCAGTTAAGAAATTGGCAGGCGTGAGAACATGATCGATTGTGAAGTCCTCACCAACGTATACCAGTGGTCTAGAATTGACAATTGCCTCAATTTCAATTAGCAAAGTTTCAAGTTGGCAGAATGTAAGCTGTCCAGTTCCAATTGATTTCTTCAGAGATCGTTTCACAATACCAATCATGCGTTCGTAAACACCACCCATCCAAGGAGCTAACTCAGTGATGTATTTCCATTTAATACCTTTGCCCGCAATGAATTCCATTACATCATTATGTTGAATTGACTCAAGCCAGAGAAGATCAATAACATTCTTAGACAGCTTGAATTGCTTGGCATTATCACTTACTATGTACTTCGGTGTACCTCTTCGTGAAATGAACCGTCTGAAACACATTAGGAATTGCTCAGTAGACATATTGCGAACTAATTCCATATGAATAGCTCTGGTAGTTAGGCAAGTGAGGATGCATACCCACACTTTAGCTGTTTCAGTTTCCATTTTCACATACATTGGCCCAAAGTAATCAAGACCAACAGATTCGAACACCCTCCCAGGGACAAGCCGTTCCTCAGGCAAAGGTGCAAATGGTGGTGTTGCAAATGGCTTTCCATGATGGCGTTTACACAAAAGACATTCCTTAATCACCCGTCTAACCATTGCTCGACCTTTAGGCACCCAGTAATTCCGTCTCAATTCAGCCAATGTCTGACTAACACCCGAATGTTTAAGTGAGGTATGCTGTTCCATTACAATTAACCTTGTTAAGTGTGAACCATAAGCTAGCAATAGAGGAAATTTACTTTCGAATGGTAGGTGAGAATACTCCAGTCTACCCTTACATCGGATTAAACCATTATCAAGGAAGAGACCCAAAGCATCGACGAGCTGATGTCGCTTGCCTTGTTCTATTGCCTTGATTTCATTTCCAAAGTGCTGAGCTTGATGATACCGAATGATAGCTACTCTTGACATTGCGATTTCTTCAGCTGTGAGATTCGTTTCACTTTCCGACTTTTCGTGTTTGAGTTTCCGTATGAATCGTTGTACCCATGCGTTCACTCTCACAAGCTTAGAAAACGAGGAGAACTTCTCACAGTTGACTACCTCATTGTGTTCATTGCTAACAAAGGCCGATTCGGGAGAGGGACCTTCGTCCGCATTTTCCTCGCAAATTGGCATTTCACTTCCCGTCGCTTGCATTGCTGGAAACATACTTTCTGGATAGGAACCAGACTTCAACCACGTTGGACCCTCCCACCACAAGGTGTTCTGCTGTAAACTCGTTGCATTAGCTCCTCGAGAAACAATATCAGCTGGATTTTCTTTCCCAGAAACATGACCGTACATGACATTATTCACCTCGTGAATGGTTTTAATTCTTCTTGCAATAAATTGCGGCCGCTGTTGATTTCCCGTTACCCATGCTAGTGCACATTTTGAGTCGGTCCATATGTGCGTCTTGCTGAGCTCGAATGGTACTTGCTCTCTAAGAAATTTGACCATCTTTGTACCAAGTACTACAGCAAAGAGTTCCAACCTAGGAATGGATGTGGGCTTGGTTGGCGCAATGCGACTCTTGCTAAATATCAGGTCGACTGAAACATTATCGCCACAAGTAGTGAGTAGGTACGCAGCAGCACCATACGCATGTGCGGATGCGTCAGTAAAAACGTGTAGTTCATACTTTGGAGTTGAACCGTCATCACTTCGAGTACCCACAAACCTTGGCAATTTTATTCCACTAAGTGACAGCAGTGAATCACACAATTTCTGGCATTCTTTGCGTACATCATCTGGTAAGATATCATCCCACCCAAATTTTCTCTTCCAAAGCTCCTGCATGATGATTTTCGCCTCAACCGTGACAGGACTGACTACACCCATTGGGTCGAATACTGACGAAATACATTGCAGTAGCTGACGTTTTGTTTCGATCTCATGAAATGCCCTTGGCGGTGGTACCCAAATTACGTCATCCTCGGTATCCCAGCCCATGCCTAGAACTTTCGTGCGGTTACCTTTGACTTGATCATACTCCGTTTCCATTTCTTTCTCACTGATGCCAACATTTTCAAGATTCCAAAAACGTTCCAAGTCGAATTCTTTCGGTGCACATGCTTCTGTCGCAACTAACGAGAGCGCCTCGTGGCACATTAGTGTGTGATCACCATTTCCGTTCGATTTCACCTTGCCTGCCACCAAAAACCCAAGAGTGGAATCGATCAAAATGAGACCATCTGGGTATTCCAATCTTTCGTTGCCAACAAATTGAAAGTATTGGTCTGCTCCAATTAAGATATCAATAGGCATTGCTTCAGGTGTATTGCATAGAGGCTCTGCTAAGATAAGCTTCTGTAAGCTAGAGTGCTTTGCTGTGCTCAAAGGTACTTTCTGTAGTGGACACGAAATGTTGTTGATAACATTTGCCTGTATGGAAGCTAATTCACCATTCTTCTGCTTGATGTGCAAATTGACTACAGGGTATTCCTTTACCGATCTGTGTGTTGCACCAAAGGTTGCAAGTGAAATTCTGTCACTTCCCTCTTGTTTGAGTCCCAATGCTTTGCTGACATTCTCACTGACGTATGTTCTCGATGAACCCGTGTCAAACAAGATCCTTACAGTCTGTGACCTGTTGCCTTCCTCATTTGTTGCAGTAGTCAAAGCAGTTTGCATTAGAACCCTGTGCCCTTGTGTGTGAGAAACCATTGCCTCATCTTGTGTTGGTTCAAATGTCTCTGCCATTGCATTCAAAGTGTGTGCCTGTTTTTGTCCATCACCATGATGCTTTCCATCATTTGTTCGCTCTTCATTTGACTTGAACTTCTGTAGACACAGACTTCTGTGGTGGGATTTGCGTTTGCAATGGTAGCATGTTCTAGCATTCATGCAAGCTCTTGCTCCATGTCCCGCTTTCAGACAGATGTAGCATTTCATACCCAACCGTGTTTTCCGTTCATCTAGCGATTTGTACATTTGACATTCATCAGAGTAATGCTTTCCATCACAATACATACATTTGATAGTACGAGCTACACCAGCACCCGCAAGTAGAGACTGCCCTGTTGATAGTATCTTCTTTGAGTGATTGGCATGTTGCCATGATTGTTGACCTTTGCATGCGGCTGGTCCTTCTGCATTCTCTTTTGCCTTTAGTAAGTGCGATAGTGCCAAACGCAACTCACTAATAGTCCATTCATCGTTCTGTTTGGTGAGCTCAAGTTGTAATTTCACATCACTCGGGAGCTTGCTCAAGATTATTGTAATGAACACCTTTTGCAATACATCCTCATCTTGTGCTTCAAGGCTCCTGAGGTGCACTTCAATTTTGTCAACACAGGACCTCAAACTTTCGATTTTTGAGGTGCAGGCCGACATCTCCATTAAAGCAGTGTAGTGGGCATCCACCATAGCTTGCTTACTCCCGTACCTCTTCTCAAGCAGATCCCGGGCAACTTCATAATTTGCATTACAGATTCTTAAACCTTTCAGCACGTCTTGTGCTTTCCCTCCCACACATTCACGGAGATAGATCAATTTTTCAACTGGTGACAAGGAGGAGTTGTCATGAATAGTAGCATCGAAAATGTTCCAAAACTCTTGGAACTCCATTATGTCCCCATCAAAATGCTTTAGCTCCAATTTGGGTAATCTGGCAGTTGTCTGGGGCTTCGATTCGGTTCTAGTATCCTGCTCTACTATGGGTCTAGTATCCCGCTCTACCAATCTCTTTAGAAGATTTTGGGTTGACTCTTGGGTGTTAGCTTGCGTCCCAATCAATTTCGTAATCTCAAGCAAGGTAGAGTCTGTCTGCATTGTAGGCTGGACGCCTGACTCCAATTCCATTTTTCTCAATTTTCTCTGGAGTTTGAAACCCTTCTCTAGTGTCTCTGTCCATAACCCAGCCTCATCCTCCAAACCATTCTTTATCTCTTTGTTGTCTTTACCCTTTGGCTCATATTCCTCGACATTCTCAACAAAATCATCCAAGTTAGCTTCCGTTCTTTCCAACAATTCCTTTAACCCTTTACCGGTCTACCATAAGCGTACCGATACTATAGTATCGGTACGTTTGGTCCTCATTTTTTTGGGGTCTTGTTGCTAGGAGACAGCTAAAATGGTGCTCTACGCGTAGCTGAGGTCCAAGGCTTTCTGACGATGTGCAAAACAACCATGCTTACCATACAAATTTTTGCCGTATCGATCGACTGAAGTTTGTTGAAATTGGAAAAGACGACCATCCGCCATGCGCGCATTTCAAGAATGCGAGTGCATCTCTTGGGGCTGTGTTTGACAAGCGTTCTGAGAGCAGTAACATCAACAGTCCAGGCTGGATGTCCCGGGAGGTTTTGCAGTGTAGTGTGCTGAGAAAAAGAGCTCCGTTGAGTCCTGCTAGTTCAAAAATATATCGTCCACGAATGAAGAAACAAAATTCTCCAAACAGAGAGGAAGCCTTCTTGCTGCCGACACGGCGACAGCGACTGTCACAAGGACTCGTCAGGTGCAATCAGCTGATTCGCCTGGCCGTGAGAATCACGGCATGCGTAAGCTCGCGCCTGAGTACTCATCTGAGCGAGAGTGAATCTGACGCGAGCAGCGCTGAGATGAACAAACCGAAACTGCGATATCGTGGAATGGGAATTGCTGCTGCTGGCGTATCGCCGATGGCGAGGTGTTGGTGTTCAATGGCGGTATTGTAGAGAGCCTACATTTCTTGTAAAGACGTAGCCCTTACCTGATTGTTTATCGTACGACTTCAGCTCCATCACGAACTTGGTATGCCCTTCGTGCTGTGATATTCGTGTATTTCATTCGCATTTGTATTTTCTCTCAACTTGAAGGGCTACCATGGGCCCTATCCTTGCCTGGACCTAGTCATATTTGAATTTTCTGGACGCGTTCAGGCATACAGATTTTGAAAATATATGGTTTACCCATACCTACATCACATGGTTCTTGAGTTATTGCTGGTTGTGTGTACATGTATTTGCGTGACCACCCCTCACATACATTGAGTTAGACCGGCAAAGGGTTAAACCACAAAGAAACGGACTTATCTGGTTGACGGGTTTGGTTCCTGCTAGCAGATCTTCGCCGACTGTCGTCTCCTCCTGCAGCTCTTCGTACAGGAGCTTGAGAGCACGCTTGCTCGTCTGGATAGCCGTCGGCAATCTTGTGTCGCCCATTTTCACAACTCAAGCCCCAAAGGGCGAGTCAACCAGGAGCAAGGCTCGGTTGGGGGCAGTGGCGAGGAACTAGGAAGCAGGTTTCGGCACCATGTCACTAACCGGCACAAACCCGCAAGTGCACAGTTAGGAGATGAGTTGATAACTGATTTATTTGCTCGGACTGAAAGAGAATTTATACGATAAGTGAACGTGGCAGTGCAACATCGTATGGAGCACGCGCACTTCATTATTTTGGGAGAGCAGTATGCAGCAGTTGGGAAAAATGCGAGCTCTGGCATGGCTGTGTAAACCTAGAGGGTCTGAGGCTACAAACTGTGCATGTGGCAGAACTTGCCGTACAGAGTTCACAGTGCAATATTTACCGTATAAACTAAGAGAAAGCTACAGATTGCTGCAGTGCCGAAACATGAACTGAAACATGTAAAATAGCAAAATTAAACTATCTCGCTTCGCGACAGGTGGTGAGAAGGAGAGCTCTGTGCCAGAACTTTGGACGCTAGAGAGCGTGTGTGGGCAGGCGTGTGTTTACCGCCATATTGCCAGGTGTGTCTTTACCACCATATTTATCAGCCATAAGTACAGCTGCAGTGGTGTCTTCAACTTCATTCGACCGAGTCAAGCTCAGTATGAAGACATCCAAGAAGAAGATTGCCTGATGAGTCCAGCGGGGACGAAACGTACGTCGCAATCGAGCTATGTCGTTGCTGTGTCATCTTCTATGTGCCATGCACTACTTGATGTACCAGCCTGCTATGCCGGATACCGCCAACCATGCATCGACCAGGCGCCAGGCCCGAGAAGGATGAGTCCAGCGGGGACGAAACGTACATCGCAATCGAGCTATGTCGTTGCTGTGTCGTCCTCTATGTGCCATGCACTACTTGATGTGCCAGCCTGCTATGCCGGATACCGCCAACCATGCATCGACCAGGCGCCAGGCCCGAGAAGGATGAGTCCAGCGGGGACGAAACGTACATCGCAATCGAGCTATGTCGTTGCTGTGTCGTCCTCTATGTGCCATGCACTACTTGATGTGCCAGCCTGCTATGCCGGATACCGCCAACCATGCATCGACCAGGCGCGAAGTGATGGTGGTGGTGGTGAAAAGGAGAGCTCTGTGCCAGAACTTTGGAGGCTAGAGAGCGTGTGTTTACCGCCATATTGCCAGGTGTGTCTTTACCACCATATTTATCAGCCATATTCCTTTATGCTTGCCAGTCTTGGACCTTAACTGCTGAAATTGTGAAAAATATCGAGGACGAAACGTACGTCGCAATCGAGCTATGTCGTTGCTGTGTAATCTTCTATGTGCCAGCCATAAGTACAGCTGCAGTGGTGTCTTCAACTTCATTCGACCGAGTCAAGCTCCGTATGAAGACATCCAAGAAGAAGATTGCCTGATGAGTCCAGCGGGGACGAAACGTACGTGGCAAACGAGCTATGTCGTTGCTGTGTCATCTTCTATGTGCCATGCACTACTTGATGTACCAGCCTGCTATGCCGGATACCCCCAACCAG